ATTATATGCAACTTTAATTATCACATTTATTCAAGTAATGAATTTGATTGCATACATTTTTTTAAAATAAGGAAGTAACTTATATTAAACTATTTGAACACTTGTTGTGTATTCACTTTAATACTTAAATTATTATTAATACAAACCATAAGGTTGTTTCCCTGGCATAGGACTAGGTTGTGGCATAGAATCACCCTGTCCTCTGTTTGTTAATGAAGGAAACTCAGACAGATCCAACAATGGAGGAGTACTTGTATCTCCACCTCCTCCACTGCCAAAAACAGAGTGAAAATTATTGATTTGAGATCCGTAATTACGACTTTGAGGTATTCCAAAAGTGCCCATGCTACCCATTGGATTCGAGGTTCTATAAATTTGTATTAACATTTTAATTTTTTTATATGAATTGTTACCATACAACAGGTATACAACAAAACATATTATATTATAACAAATAATACCATAACACTTATATATTGTAACAAATACATAAAAAATTGTTCTAACTACTTGGAATGGGGAACTAACCCAAGAGCAGGCATCGTACGTCTATCTGTAAAAGCTCTCTGCCCAAACAGTCCTCTGCTGCCCATAGGAGAGAGCTGTTGCTGTTGAGGTTGATGACTATTTTGTCCACCTCCTGCTCCTGATGCTCCAGGGTAAACGTTAGTAACTACTACCGCAGAGTTAGCTGAACTTGAAGTACTTGCAGATGACCCTGAGAACATGCCCGAGGTAGGTGTGACATGACCCATAAGGGTCGACGAATTTAAGCCCCCCCCACCACCCGTGCGCGATGTAAGGCTTGTGTTCGCAATACTGCGTGGTGGCTGCTCAAAGTTCAGGTTGGCCATAGCCTGCTGGCTCCACTACAAAGTACCTGCTAGGGCACACCAACACACTTTTATGTCAATTATCACAATCACTTGTTTTTTATTGCATCACTTGTAAGTTGTTCAATTTCATGGAACTCAGGAAAATCCATGACAATAACTCCTAGTAGCAACCTGTAATGATGAGGTAAAGACAAAAACTTTATAGCAGAAATAATGTGCTATTAATTACTATGGAAAACTTGTTTTCATTTTTAAATACCAACTATATTTATTTAATTTTTACCTCTTTATCGCAGCACCACAGCAATGGTCATATCAAAATCGAAGACAGGAAATGAGAATGGACCTATTGGCAAGTGAAGAATTTATTTTCATGAAGATGCTATCTAAGCATTACTTCCAAAAATTATACATATGTATATAATCTATATTATTACATGTGAAATATTTATTTACTTCTAAATGTACTTATGTAAATAGATAATTGT